ATCCATAGCTCCGAGGATTTCACCTCGTTTCCACAAATGACAAGGGAAGGCTACATCCAAAGTGATAGTTTCTTTAGATCATCAGATCTCTATTCACTGCAAAAACATTGTTGTCCTTGTGGTTTATGCTTTATGATTGCTTTTATGAAGACAGTGAAAAGGCAAAATATATAGGTGGAAACTTAAATTGACTTTATATTGCTTAGATTTACTGTCTTCAAAAATAGCTTGCTAGATTAATGCATTTCTGATTTCAAAGTGCTTTTTTTAAAATTGGTCTTCCCTGCACATAATAACTCTATCAGACAATGGTCTGTTGGAAGAAAACGTGTGTGATTTATTTCTGGGGGCTTTGAAGAATAAAAATACTGTTTTTTACTAATGTGTGTGAAATACAAATAAGGTTATAATATGCAAAGATGTTTTTCAGTTATACGCTTTTTCCCCCCTTCTGTGTGTTTGTTGTAGGATCTAAGGGAGGAATGTGTAAAGTTGAAAACAAGAGTGTTTGATTTGGAACAACAGAATCGAACGCTAAGCATCCTATTTCAACAGCAAGTCAGACCAACTTCTGATCTGCTCCTCCAGGTATGTGTTAATGTGGAATACAATCTTTGCTACTGAAATGCTGTTGACAGGAAGTTGACTTAAGTTCAAAAGTTACCAACATCCATGGGCAAGGCATATCGCATCAGAACGCTGATTCTTTCTTCTCTCAAGGTATGTCATTAAAATTGAACATCTCTTAAATTCTTTAATTTTTTAAAGTTACATGCAGATAAGAAAATACATCAACGAAGAATAAACAGGTAAAAGTGACAATCAGACGGTGTCCTTTAGTACACCAAGTGGAACTGTAGAAAGGACTCGGAAGGTAACTGATCGCTCTGGGACCAGTATTAGTAGCCTTGCACTTCATGATAAGCAAGAAGAGTTTTATGTAATGCCAATGTATGTTTCTTTATTTCAGACGCTATTATCAAAAATACAGCTGTGGTTTGTTTTTTTCTCTCTCTCTCTATGCAGAGTTCCTTCTCAACACAGCACTTTCTGTATTCTGTGTCTGTATTTTTGTAAGTTCTCTCTGTCTAAATGTTCTCACTGAACTCTTTTTTTTACTTGCCTTCGTAAGATGGAATGTTGTGGAAAGCCAAACCATTTGAATCATTTTGAAACTGTCTCTGACGAAGCACTGGAGACTGTATCTACTGCAGGGAAACACATGAATTGGTAGAGGGAGCTGGAGGGCTGACCTTTGCTGTTTCCAATTTTTTTGATCCTATTAATGTGTGTATTTGCTTGAACAAGCTCCTATGAGCTTTGCTCAGAGCCCTTCTGAGGCTAAGCTTTCAAAGGGTGCATTGAGATTTCGCAGGGCAGTGTATGACTTACAAAGGCTAACCCACAGCTGCTTGGTCTAATGGGCTGAGTGGAAGGTCCTTCTCTAACCTCTGATCGTCTAGACTACACTGTTCAGCAGTGTAACCACTAGCCATGTAGGGCTATTTAAATTTTAAAAATGTAAATTCAAATTAAGTTCCTATGTCCAACTAGCCACATTTCAAGTGTTCAAAAGCCACATGTGGCCAGCAGCTACTATATTAGACAGTGTGTAAGTAGAATATTTCCATAATCGTAGAAAGCTCGGCTGGACAGTATTTTTCCAAATGGCCAGGGCTGTGTTGTTAATTTACCCTTTGAATTTTGGCATAAACATC